CCTCTGCACCTTCACTACATCCTGGCTGATTCCTGGAAAGGAGCAAAAAGATGAGGGGAGCTCATTTCCCAGCTGAGGCAGCCAGTGGAACTTCTCAGCAGCCTCTGGCACGGGCGTGTTGTGTCTAAACAGCCACTAGTTATCTGGCCTGGCATCAGGGGGGATGGAAGTGACTGAAACACAGTTTGTTTTGAAAGGGAACTTAGTGGAAAGGCCTCGACCATGTCCTCTTAAGGAGGGAGGAGGAGGTGGAGAAGATAAGGATCAGATCTACTACCTGGCTCCTACCTCAGCCTGGCAATCTCTGGGGCTGCCTCGTGGGACAGAGGAAATAAAAAGCCTGCGTTAGGGTTTTCTTCCTGTGGGGACCTGGGAGCCTTTGGGAGCCCTGGCAGGGAGGGGAGGGAGGCTGCTGGGGCTCAGGGAAGCATCTCCAGGCCAAGCTGGGAGGGGTATTGTGCAACTCCTCGGAGAAGGAGAATCTGTTGGCCGGCAGGGCTGGGTGGGAAGGGAGCTGGGGAGCCTGCCCTGTGCCTGCCCTTGCTCCGGGGGTTTCCAGCCTGGGGAGTCTGGTGGCAAACACTTGGCCTCACCCTCTGCCTGCCAGAGGCTGGCTGGGGAGAGCAGGGTGCTGGCCACCCTGCCCAAATTTGGGGTGCAGGACCTGCTCACGGGCCTCACCCCTTTTTGGGGAGGCGTGGGGCGAGCCGGCGTGGGGACTGCTCCTGGGGGCACCCGTTGCCAAGGGGAACTCTGCAGCTGCAAGGGCAGAAAACAAAGCTGAGCTGCTCTGGGGTTGGGAGCTGTGAAAGAGTCAATGTGGTCAAGTGACAGAGTGGCCCAACCAGTTTGGTGAAAACTCTGTTTCCCTGCACTGTGTGCTGCTTTCAGCCAGCCTGGAGACCTCTCCTGAGCCTACCTGTGGGTTTGGGGCCCAGATCACCTTCTAGTATGTGGTAATCCAGAGGCAAAAAAAAGTCCACTGAGCTGTATTTTTGGCTTTTTCTTCTGTCTGCTATTTCTGGTAAGTTTGGGGGTTTTTGGTTTGGGTTTTTTTTTAGGAGGAGATGAGAACCAAATGACTTCTGGGACAGGTTATGGGTTTTTTGGGTTTTTTTTTTTTTTTTTTTTTTTGGCAGAGTTGTGTCTCTGGTCTTGCTGAATGGAAAGATTTGCTTAAGTGGGAGAAATACACTCCTGCAAATCCTGTCAGGCTGTGTGAGCATGAGAGTGTGGGCTGGAAATAGCAGAGGACTTTCTCAGTTTGCCAGTTGTAGGGACTGAAGAGCTACTTAAACGTTGGCCTTCCAGCTGCAGTGTGAAGCCCAGATGTTCCTAAAACCTGATTGCACCCTTGGAAACAGAGAGAGATGATAAAAGGTGCTTCTAAAACCTGGGCTGCTCTCTGGTGCTGAGCTGTGAGCTGGTTTCTCTTTTGGCAGGGTGATGGTGGTTTATAAATATCTTATCACTTCCCCTCCCAGGCCGGCTCTAAAAGACCCATTTCCTTTTTCCAAAATGCTCAGCGTGTGGTAAAACGTGCTGAAAAACCTCTGCCACCAGGCAGGGCTGCAGGTGCTGTCTGATCTAGGGCTTGTAGCCTTCAAACCACCTCCTTGAGCTTGAAGACAACTGCTTCTACCTAAGAGAAGAAGTCTCCAGAGCAGGTGGAGTAAGAGGGACTGAGTTCCACAGTCCTTCTTTTCTTCTCTTCTCTTTCCAGAGTTTGACTTATGCAGAAATACAGTTTTCTACCTTACCCTGATGCTTTCCTTCCAACAGAAATCAGATGAATTGGTGACATACACACATCTCTATCCATCTCTCTATAAAAACCTCTCCATCCACAAGTGTGGCCTGGTGGAGAAGTTGACCCTTATTAGCAGCCTTAATTTTTTTAGGACCCAGCTTGTCCCTTAGTCCCTCTCTTGTTCCTGTTTGGAAAGCCTCCATGACAAACAGGATCCTGTTGGTGTCTCCATGGTCAGCACACAGCTGGTATGATCTTGGTGGAGCTTAAGAAGTTCTGTGAATTCAGACCTGAGCCTTTCCTTGGCTCTGTGGCTGTTTGCCTGCCAGAGACAAGATGTACTTCCTGGGTGTACTGAGAGTCCAAGGCCTTCTGGCTGTTGCTGTCAACAAGATGAATTCCTCAGGGTGGTGTTTGTGGCTGTTGGTGGCTGTAAGTGGCAGGCTGTGCCCTGAGGGCAGTGCTGTACCTGGTTAAGGGAGAATTAGTAACCCTCTCATTGTTCATTAACTGTAGTGTTGTGTGAAGCTGTCCTGCCTCATCCCTGGTGCTCAGAGCTGCTGGTCGCCAAGCACTTGTCCTTCATGTGGGCTGAGGAGTGTTCTGGCAGCTGGGCTTTGTGGTGCAAGGGCTCTGAGCCCTGCAGAAGATCATAGCCTGCTGCACAGCTCACCTACTTCTGGCTTCTGGCTTGGGGTATCACTGCAGAAATGCCTGCACGAGCTCCAGAAGGGCCTGAACCTCACAGAAATTAGCATGCAGGTAAACATCTTCATGGCTCAGTGGCCTGCTGAGCCCCCCTAGGGACAGGCACTCGTTGCTTGGCTCAGAGGGAGGCAGTCCTGTGGTCAGTGGGAGCTCCTCCTCCTGCAGGGCTCCTTGGGCAGCCTGTCTGTGGGTGAGCCCAGCTGGCCCCCGTGGCTGTGTGGTGTGAGGAGAGGGCAGGGAGGTGGCACCACACCAGGGAGAGCTGGGCAGGCTCCAGGTCCAGCCTGGTGATAGCAGCTTGAGGGAAACAACCTGCTGAGAGGTGTGGGGCTTGGCTAGGCCTGGGAAATGGCCTCCAGTTGTGCCAGGGGAGGTTTTAGGTTGGAGATTAGGAAATATCTTGGGGAGAGGGGACAGCATCTTCCAGGCTATGGAGATGCCTTCAAACGTGAACCCTCTTCTACCTGACTTGAGGCTTCAGGGGTGACCTGCAGAGCTCGTTGCTCTTGGTGGCACACACTCTGAGTGTTTGTAGGAGCTCTGCACTCCCCTGTGAAGGTGCTGGGGTGGCATTGCCACAGCTCATCTCCTCTGGACTGCGGGTGGGCTCTTCCTCCCTGTCTCCTCTTTCACCACGCCCGGGTACGAGGCTCTCCCCCTGTGGCCTGTCCTTCACCATGGTCACCTTCCGAGGGAATGGGGCTGGGAGCAGCACAGGCTTATGTGACAAAAATAATCTCCAAGCTGTGGGGGGACTTCTCTGCTGTCTGTAGCAAAGCAGGGTCTGGCTGCTTCTCCTCAGACAGGCCTGTCCTGGATTTTCTGCTCCACGTACTGGTCTCGCTGGTGTCGCTGTTGCTGGGAGAGCAACAGGCCTGGGAGCTGGAGGGGGCAAGAAGCCATCTCCTCCTGCTGGTGGAGGACTTGTCCTCTTCATCTGCCAGGGTGCTGGGTCACAGAATCCCTGCAGGGTTGGGGCTGGGAGGGACCTCTGGAGATCATCTCATCCAACCCCTCTGCTCCAGCAGCTCACCCACAGCAGGGTGCCCAGGATGGCATCCAGGAGGTTTTGGAATCTCCCCAGAGCAGGAGACTCCACAGCCTCTCTGGGCAGCTGCTCCAGGGCTCTGGCACCACGTCGGTGGGGTTTTGGAGGTGACCCTGTAGCACAGCTGCCTGAGGTTGGATTTCTGTGCTGCTCTCCCCTCCCAACAGCACCTTGGGCTGTCAGTGGTGGGCTTAGCACAGCCCCTAGCGAGGGCATCCCTGGGAGTCAGGGTCCTGCTCTCTCCTGTTCACTGCTTGGTGGGAAGACCAGCCACTTATAACCAGGCCTACATACCAGTTTAGCTCCAGAGTTAACCTAAATATTTAATAGGATTTAGCCAAAGCCTTTGATTGAGCCAGGAGAGCGCGCTGGGCTCCGTGACCCACGGTACCCCTGGGCTGGCAGCAGGGAACCCTGCTGACCTTGCTGGGCTGGGGCTGGTGACCCCAGCCTAGTGGGGCTCTGCCTGTGGCAGGCGGACCCGCGCGCAGCGGG